GCGGAAGCCGTAACCAGAACGTTCTGGAGATCACCGAACAAAGCAAAAACAAAGGAGAATATTGAAACTTGTCCACATAGAAATAACATAATGAATTGAGAGACAAGAAAATTCAGATAGGTAATGGATCAACATATGCTCGGAAAGAAAAAGGTTTCCATCTATCAGCGAGCATTACTTTATGAGAATCAGATCCTTCCTTGAGGGCGCTCGTACCAGCTCCACCACGAAAAGAATGTGAAGTAAGTCTTCGCGATCCCAAACCAACTTCTCCCAGCGCTTTTTGAATCTGGCACGCCACGTAATCCTCTGAGGGAAATCGACCCTTGCAACTGAAAATAAAGTCGGGTGCTGAATGCAGGATGGACGTTCGAATAATGATCCCACAGATCTCGGGATATAGAATTCCTACGGAATGCTACAGATGTTCCCTGTCCTTCTTGATCTGTCTTTTAATCTGAATCCCCTTGGTACGTCAGATCAGAGAAACGCAGTCTCACTGACTCCCAGAAAAGCCGAGAAAGTAAACACGATTATCATGGCTGCCCCAAGTGATGTCTTCTTTTGAACCTTCAGAGACCGGGCGATCATCTGTTTCACGTCCTCTGTGGACGCTTTCGTACTGTGCCGTATCCTGGGTCTCCTCCTGTCGCCACACGCACGAGGGCTCTCTGTATTTCCAAATCCTCTCTACTTGTTGGTCCAAAGAAGTGAGAGAGAGCCGCAATATAGTGTCCTAGTGACCTGGTCTTTTCTTTATCGATGAGGTGAGCGATAAAATCGTTCCTAATTTTTGGTAAAGCCGACGTCGGGACGTGGAAACTAAGGTTGAAGTTCAAAAAAGTCTCCTTGACTCTTCTGTAAGTCGCGATTGTTCCAGGGGCCATCGATTCATCGATACAGGAGTCGATGATGTTGGAAACCGATCCCATACAGGCCAGCATCGCTGTTTCTGTGGCTCTCCTTCTTCTGTGGTCGAAGAGGAAATCTAAAAGGAATCGCCATACTCTTAGTTTAGCACGTACCGTGCTCCGAATATTCTAATATATCCCGAATTGAAAGCTTGGGTTGGAGAGTGGGCGCTCACGAGTCGAAAAAGCGGAATGGGTATTATTATGCATGATCGCTCGATCACGCCTCTCTTACACGAGAAATTGTTATGCCTCGCTAACACCCCAGGAGCCAGGTCAATCTTACACGACCATGTGCTTTGCACCCACCCAATATACTCTATGGAAATTCAAAACACCTATTTCACCTCCGATATAGATCTACGGCCAAATATCCGTTTTGAATTTCAGATTTGAATTTCGGAATTTTAAAGCCCGGGATGGGGTTGAAAGGAAAATACTGAAGAATAGCCGGAAAAGAAGCCATTTTATCAAAGGGGTTGAAATACAAAATTGTTCCTAGTCCACTGTTTGAGGCGTCCGAAAAAATCGAAAAAATCGATTGAAATGAACTGCTGAGTCTATTGGGATGCCGATAAAGGGTGCATTAAAGGACAACCAACTTTTCAGCTCAGACTTTTCTGTTTCACTTAATGTCCACCTCGGATAACGCCGTTGCTTGGCTCTACTTTTCTGTGATACTCGAAATCACCGCTTTCCACCTTTTCTTGAACTCGGAAGGGATAACAGATGCATAGATGCAATACAGCCTTGTCATTTCAGTCTCTCATACAGTGAAGCCCCTCTGGACTTTAAAAAATCTTGCAGCTAGAGAAGCTGATTTTTTTTCTACTAGGTGTAACGTCTAAGGTATAATTTTTCAAATCAATAATATGCCTTAACCACATTAGCTTTTGGAGCGGTCTCCACGAACATTCATCTTCGGTCATAGTAAAGCCGGCTTTAGATAGATCATTTCTTATCGTTTCAACGGCCACCTCACACGGTTGTGCGGAATCTGCCCAAATCAAACCATCGTCCAGATGGCAACAAAAGGCCCATTGGCTCTCCACTTTTTCAGTAGTGGACG